GCCGGCGGCGGCGGCAGGAGCAAGGCGCTGGACGACAAGGCGGCAGCTCAGGTCGCGGAGATCAACAAGCTCCAGGCGAAGGTCAAAGGCCCCCCAGGCGGCAAACATGCCGGAGGAGGGGGCGGGGCCAGTTGAATCCATGGTGGTCGCCCGGGAGTTGCTGCCGTGCTCAGTGCCTGCCCCTGGCCGACCTCCAGATGGCGTCGGCTGCCGGGTGATGCGCTCTCGGGCGCGACAGCGTCAGCACGTTGGTCAGTGGCTCTCAGAGGTTTTGCACGTTGTCAATTCATTGCACAGCCATGGCGCTCCTCGACTCCTCGACAGGATCTCCGAGCGTCGTGCCCCCAGCTCGCGGGCATTGACCACGTCCGCGACATCATCGCGGAAGCAGGTCCCCCACCTTATTCAGGAGCGGCAGCCTTCGCAGAGCTGCGCCCACACTTGCTGGGATATGCAAAAGACACCGTGCGCCGAGCCACCTACTCCGATGGGGGGGGCTCCCTGCCGCCGACGGCGGGCGGGCAGCGCGACGGTGCTGCGTGCTCGTCGGGACGGGCCCGCGATCTATGGGTAGGCTGGCGGAAGCATCTTATTCGTGATGATGAGCCCGCGGATGGCCCTCGTCTTCGCCCTTCCCCAGATCCAAGATTAGCGCAGTGCAAGCGGGCCCTCTCACGCTTCGTCGGGCAGCCGCTAGACCAGGGCCGCATCGACCTGGGCGAGCGGGCCGAGGCGGCGGCGGGCACCTTCTTCGCTTTCAAGAGCGACAAGCGGACCCCCCGCATGATCGCCGACACCCGGGCGGCCAACACACGTTTTAGACCGCCGGCCTACTCTCAGTTGCCGACCGCGGGCGCATGGAGCAACCCGACGGCACTGGAGGGCAAGTCTCTGCACCGGGCCCAGATGGACGTGGATAACGCGTTCTACAGGATTGCCACTCCGCCTGGGCTGCGCAACCACTACGGCCGCCCGCCGTCGACCTCGACACCCGCCTTGCCGATTGGCCCGCCCTGGGCGCGCAGCTGCCGGCTGGGCGCAAGGCGCCCCCGCGGCTGGTAGCCCTTGCGATGGGCTGGAGCTGGGGCCTCTTCTTCTGTCCGCAGATGGCGGAGACCCAGGTGATCCAGAGCGGGCTGGCTACTCGGGAGCGGCTGGCGCGTGACCGGCACCCCGCGCCCTGCTTGGAGCAGGGGCCCGCCGCCGCGGCGCGCGCGGACGGGGCCGCGGCCATCGGGCTCGACCACGCCGAGAGGGTGGAGACGGCCCAGCGGGCGCGCGCCACCCTCGACGCGGCGGGCCTGCAGGGCAAGGGACTCGAGGCGCCTTCCGCAGAGGCGAAGTTCACCGGCCTGACGTTCGACGAGGCGAGGGGCCGCGTCGGGCTCAGCCGCCGCCGCATGTGGCGCACCCGCCTGAGCATGCTGCACGCTGCCGACCGCGGGCCCGCATCGGGCGACGAGCTGCGGGCGCTCCCCGGCCACTTCACCCGGGGCGCGCTGGCGCGGAGGGAGTTCTTGTTTATCTTATCCGCGGCACTTGGGCCGGAGGGCGGCGGCGCCGACTGCGGAGCGCCGTGGAGGCGGAATTCCGCGCGGCAGCCGCGCTCATCGCGTTCGGCCAAGTGGATTGCCGCCGCCGCCCCGACCTTTTGGCGCTGGCGACCGACGCCCGCGGCGCGACGGCCTGCGACGCGGGCGGGCGCGGCGTGGCGAGCCGCGCCTGGAACCCGAGCGACGTCGCCAATCTTGCGCCCAGGCAGAGCGGCGGCGGCACCGCGTGTCCGAGGCCGCGTCGGCGCGGGCGCGCGCGCTCGGGCTGTCGGAGCACCCAGCCGTCTTTCGGACTTTGCACGACCAGAAGAGGCAGAGCGACAGACGGAGCGATCCCAGCCCCGAGCAGGTTCCATCGCCTTTATCGAGGCCGCCGCAGCACACTTCTGAGGTCGACCAGTCTTTGGGGGACATGTACTTGGGGCCGGTCTCGCTCGAGAAAATCACCTCGAGTCGCGTCGGCGACTTCGATGCGCGGCAGCTCTGGGTCAAAGGTAGATTCAGTAGAGCCGAGAACATCATCCGTCTGGAGGGCACGGGGTCGCGTTCGGCGCTCGACATCAACTTCGGGCTGCCTCTCGGCGGGGGCGCAAACTGCCCGCGTTGCGCGACAACCTGGGCCTGGCACTGGCCTTGGGAAAGGGGCGGGCGACCGCCCCGAAGGTGAACAAGGCTTGCCGTGATCTCGCGCGCCTCCTGCGCCCGGGCCAAAGCCGCGATCTTGTCCGTCAATATCCGGCGGACGTTTGCATGTCTCTCGGTCTCGGGAAGCGTCTTGAGCGCGTGTTCGCACTCTTGTATCGTAACGACAGCGTCGGCAGTCGCACCGACTTTGGCTTGATTCCCGCTCCCAGGCCCCCTTGGATGCATGGGAGGAGTGGGCTTGGTTGGACTGGTAGCCGCCGTGGCCGCCGTAGTCCCAGATTCTCCCGTCAGACTTGACAGAGGTGGATTCGAAAGTGGCGAACCTGGCCACTCTGGCCAAAAGTCATCAAGGGTCATGCGAGAGGGAGGCACTTGCGCTGGGAACTGATTGGGAACCCCTGCCCCATTCAAACTCGTCCTCGACGCTGTCACCCAACTTCTCTTCAACCCGCACCGCCTGCACTTACTCTTACCTTTCGGATTTTCGAATTGGCATGAGCACGGCCACCACTGCATCTTCCATCCCTCACTTGCCTACCAATTCCACGCCACCGTGAACTACCATGACTCAAGTGTAAAGGGAACGGTGTTGCAGTACTGGGATTGACCCCTTCAGCCCCCCTTCAGCTCTTGACTCCCCCTCCTCGCCTCGAGAACGCCTCCTCTTGCTCCTCCTCCTCCTCCTCCTCCTCCTCCTCCTCCTCCTCCTCCTCCTCCTCCTCCTCCTGCTCCTGCTCCTCCTGTTCCTCCTGCTCCTCCTCCCTCCTCCTCCTCCTCCTCCTCCTCCTCTTCCTCCTCCTCCTCCTCCTCCTCCTCCTCCTCCTCCTCCTCCTCCTCCTCCTCCTCCTCCTCCTCCTGGACCCCATCTTTCCGCGCCACTGTTTGATCCCGATCGATCCGTGAGGGCCAGGGCTCGAGCTAAACGGTGTCTTGGCGATTTCGTGGACCGTTTTCGTTTTGATTCAATGTTGCACCACAGGCGGAACGAAGACTGAACGAGAGAAATCGAAAACAGAACGAAAACGGAAAACATTGTTTAGCTCAAGCCTTGATGAGGGTCCCAGGACCCAGAATATGGGCGAGAAGAACCGTTGTGAAGAAGGTGCAGCGCGGGGATCCCCAAAGCAAAAAGAACATGAGTAAAGATGTTTGGAGGTCCGCTCGGATTTCTTGGATCTGCGCTGCACTACCCTCCCTGGCGCGAGGAGCGCACCATGGGCGGCGCCGGAGGCGCCGCCAGATGGGGGGGCCCAGGCGCCGACCCAAGAAGTCCGCGCGGACCGTCGAAAGATGATGTTCATGCCATGATTTCCGTCTTCGACTTGGCATCGTTCGGACGTGCGCATGTGTTTTCCTTCGGCGAGGAGCATCCTCCACCATCGACCCAACAAAGCATGCACGGGACCGAAAATCTACACGGGGAGTTGACGTCCGAGCGATGGCAAGTCGAAGGAGTTCGGGGTCGTCTCGGCGGACCGCTTGGGCGCGTCGGGGCCCCGCGGGCTTTGGCCGCCCTCGCAGACGGCGAACCGAAAGGGGGCGGCGGGCTGCCGCCGCTCTTGCGCAGCGCGCCCGATCGGGGGGAGCGCGGGCCCCGTCCGAGTGCCGCCCCAGGGCGGATCCAGACGGCCGGCGCCTCGACCTCAACCTCAGCCTCCTCCTCTTCCTCTTCCCCTTCCTCCTCTTCATCCTCCCTCCTCTTCCTCCTCCCTCCTCTTCCTCCTCCTCCTCCTGCTACTGCTGCTGCTCCTCCTGCTGCTGATGATCCTCCTCCTCTTCCTCATCCTCCTCCTCCTTTTCCTCCCTCCTCCTCCTCCTTTTCCTCCTCCTCCTCCTTTTCCTCCTCCTGCTCCTCCTGCTCCTCCTTTTCCTCCTCCTGCTCCTCCTGTTCCTCCTCCTCCTCCTTTTCCTCTCCTCCTCCTTTTCCTCCTCCTCCTCCTCCTCCTCCTCCTCCTCCTCCTCCTTCTCTCCTCCTCCTCCTCCTCCTCCTCCTCCTCCTCCTCCTCCTCCTCCTCCTCCTCCTCCTCCTCCTCCTCCCTCCTCCTCCTCCTCCTCCTCCTCCTCCTCCGCCTCCTTCCCCCTCTCCTCCTCCTCCGCCCTCCCTCCCTTCCTCCCTCCCTGCCTCCCTCCCTACCTCCCTCCCTCCCTCAACCCAGTCGTCCCAGGGCGGGCCCCGTCCAAGTGCCGCCCCACTTGTTTTGACGTGGCAATCTCGAGGTGCAAAAAGCTGATAATTATTGCGCTGAGACTAGTTTCGCTCGTGGTGCCCGTCGGTCCGCAGACGAGCCTCAGCTGGCAGCAGTGCGCCAGCGATCTACAACCAAGATGCGGTGGCAATAACATCTGGTTTCATGTGTCCTTGTGACACCCTTCCTGCACGCCCGAAGGCGGATCCAGACAGCCGGCGTCTCGATCGAAAAAGTCGAGGCGGGCGTGATCTGTTGGCCGACCTGACGAACGCCAGGACCTCAGGGTTCGGCGACGTCCGAGAAAGGAAAATTTGCATACACGTTCGGAGCTCCGCGCGGATTGCTCTGGTCGGCGCTTGGCCCCCCTGGCGGCGCCTCCAGCGCCACCCCTGGCAAGCTCCGCACGACAGGAACGGGGGGGGGTCCAGCGCAGATCCAAGAAATCAGCGCGGAGATCCGGAAGTTTCTGTTTATGTCATTTTCTCTTCCTCTAGAGATAGACGTGATTTGTTTGCCGATTTGGCGGACGCCAGGATCTCAGGGTCCGACGCCGGGATCTGTTCGCGGAGCGGTTCCCGGGGACTTGTCTGGGTGTCGCCGGGGTGGCCCCCAGGTCCTGCAGGTCTTGGAGGGCGCCGAGGCCGCGTCCGACCCGAGGAGCCCGCCCGCGTTGCCCTCTGGCGTCGTCGTCGCCGTCGCCGTCGGAGGAGGAGGAGGAGGAGGAGGGAGGGGGAGGAGGAGGAGGAGGAGGAGGAGGAGGAGGAGGAGGAGGAGGAGGAGGAGGAGGAGGAGGAGACGGAGGAGGAGGAGGAGGAAGAGCAGGAGAAAGAGGAGGAGAAAGAGCAGGAGAAAGAGGAGGAGAAAGAGCAGGAGAAAGAGGAGGAGGAGAAGCAGGCGGAGAAAGAAGAGGAGGAGGAGGAGGAGCCAGTTTTCTGACGATGTGATGTTTGTCAATTTCGACGTTTCTTCTCGATCTGGGCTTCCGCAGGCCGTTTTAGGGCCCTGAGGCCATCAAAAATGGACTCAGGCCAAAGAACTACCTCTGGAGAAGGTCGAGACCTTTGGGGCCGCGGATTGAGAAATCACGTCGTCAGATGTCTGAGGAGGAGGAGGAGGAGGAGGAGGAGCGAGCGAGCGAGCGAGCGAGCGAGCGAGAAGCCTAGCGCCAGACGGCGCGCGAGCAAGGAGGAGGAAAAGGATCGAACATCGGGACACGTCAGGTTCGAGTTTGCCAGGACTCGGGTTCACCGCCGCTTCTTGAGGGTCCCGACGTGAGCTTACACGGTCCCGCCTTCTTCAGATGCTTCAAACGAGGGTTCGCGTCAAGTTTCAGATTAGGTCCCGTAATTTTGCCGACGGCCACGTCCGGCAATTTCGAGACCCCACAGAAGGCCCACGCACGTCTCCTGGAGAGGAGGAGCATCGGAGGAGGAGGAGGAGGAGGAGGAGGAGGATCAGGAGGAGGAGGAGGAGGAGGAGAAGGAGACGGAGGAGGAGGAGACGGAGGAGGAGGAGGAGGAGGGGAGGTAGGAGGAGGAGGAGGAGGAGGAGGAGGGAGCTAGGAGGAGGAGGAGGAGGAGGAGGAGGAGGAGCAGCAGCAGACTGGGGCAGGCTTTCCTGTTGTGCACCTGCCCGGGGGGAGGGCTCTGGAGCTCGTGCCCCCCCGTGGGCGCCGCCGGGCTTCGCCCCGAGGTCCTGCTCGCGGAGTCCAGGGCGGGCCCAGGCCTCTGCGGCTCCGAGGGCGCGAGCCCGATGTGTCAGGCGATCGCAGACACGGATCAGGGGGGCGTGGAGTAGCGCCGGGTCCCGCTTCCACGGGAAATCCCCGAATGTGTGGTGCTTGCGATGCCTGCGCCCGCGGCCGTGCGCCCTCCCACCCCTCGAGGTCGGAGGCCTCTTGGGGCAGCCTCGAGCCGGCCCGGGGCCTCCCGGGGGACCTCCCCTGAGATCCGAGCGATGCGATTTTCTCGCACTGGGCGTTTTCGCCCAGCCCGCTGCTCGCCCCCCTGCCGAATTCAGCGCCCCCGCCCCCCCTGGGGCTGCCGGCGAGGCGGGCGGGACAGGCGCAGGCGCAGTTCGGCGCAGGCGGGATGGGCGGGATTGCGACAGCGCTTCTCTCGGCGGCGAGCGAAGGGGGGGGATGGGAAGTGAGAAGGAGAAGGCCTCAGAAGGCGGCGGGACTTCTTGGAAGCCCTCGCGCCTTCCGAGCGGTTCTCTGCTTCTTCGGGGAGGATTCCGAAAACCTCTCAGAAGGCCGGAGGACTTCGCACCTCCTGAGAGGGCTTTCTCCTTCTCACCTGCCCCCCCGGGCGCGCCGCCGATCCAGGGACTCCAGCGTACCCTTCGATGCGGCGCGACGTCGATGCACTAGGCTAAAGTCGGGCAAGTCCCTCTACAAGAGAAAAATGCAAAAGTAGTCAAAAATAGTCTGGGGATGATGTTTAAGTATTTTTTGCCACTTTTGAATGTTGTTTGATCATTTGTTATTTTTAGGGGGACACGCCCGACCTAACATTAGGCGCATCAGCTGAGAAATCCGCCTGCCCGCAGGCCCGCGGCAACTTCTCGTGTCCAGTGGGCCCCACGGAAGCGCTGGGGCCCTCAAAGATCGACGAATAATGTGCCCCTCGGTTTCGTACAGCAAGGTTTCTGACCGTGTGGGTTTACTGTGTTCCAGCCGGCTCGACCCGATCCGATCCCGACATGTGCCGACGGTCCGGTGCGGCCCAATGCTTGCACGGCGTTGTTGCGCATCCATGCGCGGCCAGCCCGATCCGGTTTCGACCCCGTGCCAGTGCAGCTCGATCCGACGCACATCATTCCGATTCGACCCGATTTCCCGAGTCGATGGTTGATCATCTTGCATTGTTCGCACTGGCGTGGAGTTCTGTGGATCGTGGATGGCAGGAGCAAGCCAGCGCCGCCTTGTCCTTCCGCTCCCCATCGTCGTTCGCCTTCCCACTCCTCCTCCTCATCCTTGGCCCCACCAATCCCTCACCCTGGCCGCGCCCTTGCCCTTGCCAGGGTGTCGACCGCCGTCTCCAACATCAAGACCAGCCTGTACAATCAGATGTACAGCATCGGCATTTTCAAGATGATGGAGTACAGCGGCGTAGCCGTTACCAAGGAGCCTCGGAGCGCCTGGCTGGCGGCGCGTCCACGTGGGAGCCCCTCGTCGGGGGCGGCGCGTCCCTCGGAGCGCGCTCGAGAGTCCCGAGGAGGCCTTCGGATGGCTTTCGCCAGGGTTGGCTTTCGCCGGGCTTCGTTTCGCCGGGCTTCGTTTCGCCGGGCTTCGTTTCGCCGGGGTTGGCTTTCGCCGGGGTTGGCTTTCGCCGGGGTTGGCTTTCGCCGGGGCCGGGCGGGGAGCAGGCGGGGCAGGCTCAGGGGCAAAAGCAGGCGCCGCCGTCGCTGGCGTGGCCGTCGCCGCCGCCGTGCTGACCCCCGGGAGCCTTTGAGGCGCGCCGCTTGAGTAGGCGAAAGGGTCGCAGAGACGTGGGGGGGGTGTCAAGGAGGTCCCGGATGCTGCGGGACACTGAGGTTTGGGGCGCGCTCGAGTGAGCTCGCGTGAACCCTGACGGGCGGGTCGTGTTGGGCGGGCGGGCCCTGACGGGCGGGGCGGGTCGGGTCGGGCCGCGCGGACCCTAACGGGCGGGTCGGGTCGGGCGGGCGGGACGCTAAAAAGTGCGGGGCGCGATCAAGTGGGCACGCGTGAGCCCCAGCGTGCGGGCCCGATCGGGTGGGCGGACCCTAACGGGCGGGACGGGTCGAGCGGACCCTCACACGCGGGCCGGGTCGGGCGAGCGGATCCTAACGGGCGGGGCGGGTCGGGTCGGGTCGGGCGGACCCTAACGGGCGGGTCGGGTCGGGCGGGCGGGACACTAAAATGTGGGGCGCGCTCGAGTGAGCACGCGTGAACCCTGACGGGCGGGTCGGGTCGGGTCGGGCGGACCCTAACGGGCGGGGCGGGTCGGGTCGGGTCGGGCGGACCCTAACGGGCGGGTCGGGTCGGGCGGGCGGGACACTAAGGTGTGGAGGCGCGCTCGAGTGAGCACGCGTGAACCCTGACGGGTGGGTCGGGTCGAGTCGGGCGGACCTAACGGGCGGGGCGGGTTCGGGTCGGGCGGACCCTAACGGGCGGGTCGGGTCGGGCGGGCGGGACAATAAAGTGTGGAGGCGCGCTCGAGTGAGCACGCGTGAACCCTGACGGGCGGGTCGGGCGGGGCAGGCGGACCCTGGCGGGCGGGGCGGGTCGGGTCGGGTCGGGTTGACCCTGACGGGCGGGTCGGGTCGGGCGGGCGGGACACTAAAGTGTGGGGCGCGCTCGAGTGAGCACGCGTGAACCCTAACGGGCGGGTCGGGTCGGGCCGGGCGGACCCTAACGGGCGGGACGGGTTCGGGTCGGGCGGACCCTAACGGGCAGGTCGGGTCGGGCAGGCGGGACACTAAAGTGTGGAGGCGCGTTCGAGTGAGCACGCGTGAACCCTGACGGGCGGGCCGGGTGGGGCAGGCGGACCCTGGCGGGCGAAGCGGGTCGGGTCGGGTCGGGCGGACCCTAACGGGCGGGTCGGGTCGGGCGGGGGCGGGACACTAAAGTGTGGGGCGCGCTCGAGTGAGCACGCGTGAACCCTAACGGGTCGGGTCGGGTCGGGCGGAGCCTAACGGGCGGGACGGGTTCGGGTCGGGCGACCCTAACGTGCGGGTCGGGTCGGGCAGGCGGGACACTAAGGTGTGGAGGCGCGTGAGCACGCGTGAACCCTGACGGGCGGGTCGGGCGGGCAGCGGACCCTGGGGCGGGGCGGGTCGGGTCGGGTTGACCCTGACGGGCGGGTCGGGTCGGGCGGGCGGGACACTAAAATGTGGGGCGCGCTCGAGTGAGCACGCGTGAACCCTAACGGGCGGGTCGGGTCGGGCTGGGCGGACCCTCGGGGCGGGTTCGGGTCGGGCGGACCCTAACGGGCGGATCGGGTCGGGCGGGCGGGACACTGAGGTGTGGGGCGCGCTCGAGTGAGCACGCGTGAACCCTACGGGCGGGTCGGGTCGGGCCGGGCGGACCCTGGCGGGTCGGGTCGGGTCGGGCGGACCCTAACGGGCGGGTCGGGTCGGGCAGGCGGGACACTAAAGTGTGGAGGCGCACTCGAGTCAGCACGCGTGAACCCTGACGGGCGGGTCGGGCGGGGCAGGCGGACCCTGGCGGGCGAAGCGGGTCGGGTCGGGTCGGGCGGACCCTAACGGGCGGGTCGGGTCGGGCGGGCGGGACACTAAAGTGTGGGGCGCGCTCGAGTGAGCACGCGTGAGCCCTAACGGGCGGGTCGGGTCGGGCCGGGCGGACCCTAACGGGCGGGGCGGGTCCGGGTCGGGTCGAGCAAACCTTAGCGGGCGGGTCGAGTCGGGCAAGGAGAGCATTGAAGTGTGGACGCACGCTCGAGTGAGCACGCGTGAACCCGAACTGGCGGGTCGGGTCGGGCGGGCGGACCCTAACGGGCGGGTCGGGTCGGGCGGGCGGGACACTAAAGTGTTGGGCGCGGCGGGACGAGCACGCGCGAGCTTTAACGGGCGGGTTGGGTCGGGTCGGGCGGACCCAAACGGGCGGGGCGGGTCGGGTCGGACCCTGACGGGCGGGTCGAGTCGGGCGGGCAGAACACTAAAGTATGGGGGCGCGCTCGAGTGCGCATGCGCGAACCTTAGCGTGCGGGTCCGATCGTGCGGGCGGACCTAACTGGCGGGGCGCGTCGGGCGGACCCTAACGGGCGGGTTGTGTCGGGGCTGGCCCGGGGCCCTCGCCTGGGATCCATGCCCGTTGCCCCCGCGCTGCTGATGGACGCGGAGCAGTTGTAGCACTCCCACATTGAGACGCCTTTCTTGCTGGTGTGCTTGATCCTGTAGCAGTAGCCTGCGTGAAGCAATTTGAGCCAACGCCGGTTCGTTAGCACCAAGCGAGGGCTGGCGGCCTCGGGCACCGCGGCTGGGGCGGTACCGCCGGCCAGGGCGGCGCTGGGCCCCGCGGCGCTGAACCCAGGCGAAAACGAGCCCGGGCGAAAGCCAACCGCGGGCGAAAGCCAAGCGGGCGAAAGCCAACCTGGGCGAAAGCCAACTGGGCGAAAGCCAACCCGGGCGAAAGCCAACCGGGCGAAAGCCAACCGGGCGAAAGCCAACCCGGGCGAAAGCCACCCCGGGCGAAAGCCAACCGGGCGAAAATCAACCCGGGCGAAAGCCAACCGGGCGAAAGCAAACCCGGGCGAAACGAACCGGGCGAAACGCACCGGGCGAAAACCAACCCGGGCGAAAAACATCTACGCCAAAGCCCTCGAGAAGGGCCAGGCCCTCGAGGAGGCCTTCGGACGCCCTCGAGAGGGTTCTCGAGAGGCCCTCGAGAGGCCCTCGAGAGGGTCCCTCGGATGGCCCTCGAGAGGACCCTCGAGCGTGTCCTCTTCACCACGCTTCCCAGGTTCAGTCTACTCTAGGCCTAGAGCTGGCTGGGGGTCTGAGGTGGCCCAGCACAACTTCTGGCCAACGGGGAATGGGGGGTGGGCCGAGGTTCGAGGTTTGGGGTTCGAAAAGGCTGTCAGCCTTTCGCGGCCTCTGGGCACCGTTTTCGGGCCCTGGGGGAGCGTCGAAAACGGATCCGGGGTGAGAAATTGCACCAGACAAACTTCGGGAGAGGTCCAGGGACCGATTTTGAGCGGATTTGCCTTCATCCCTCCCGCTTGATCGATTTTCTCAGGGCCTCTCCAGCGCAGACCCCCCCGGCCCCCTCCAGCCCCGGGTTCCAATCTACTTTGGGAACAATCCTATATCAAGGATGGAGTGTTTCGCTCTCTACCGTCATCTTCAGGGGGCGGGCGCGGAGACCCACTCTGCTTCCAACGCCTTCCTGCTTCATGCTTCTACCCACTTTTGGCCGATTGGTCTTCGATGGCCCCGCAGGGACAAGTGTCGAAGCCCAGCGTGTGCTCGCATCGCTCAGCTCCACGGGTGGCGCACGGCCTGCGTCAGCCTCCACACCTGCTCCGTAGCCTGAGGGGCTTCGGCTTGAGTAGCCTGAGGGGCTTCGGCTGGGCGGGGCACGCGCTGGCGCCAGCGCGCACGCCCTCCGAGGGTTATCCCGGCCAGCGCCCTCGAGGGGATGCGGGCGGAGGCGTTTCGCCGGAAGCCCTCGGGTGCCGGGGCGCGTGGACCACCCAGCCTCCCCTCCTGAGCGGCGCCCTGGGTCGCCGCGTCCGTGGGGCCTCCGAGATGCATGCTCGTGGGCTCCTCCTGCCTACCCCCGCCGCCCCGCCTCTCGGGGGGACCGAGGCAGGTATGGAAGGGGTGGGTACAACATCTAGCAGCAGTTCCTGTTCATTCTGGACTGGATTCTCGCCGTCGCCGCGGGCGTTGTCCATTTGAGACAGAAGGTCGCCTGCCCAACAGCGGCCGTCGTCGGTGTTGGACAGCGTGTGACGGACTTCGGAAACCCTGAACCCAAGAACGTTTTCATTTCTTGGGAGGTCGGCTTTTGCTTCCGCCGCCTTCTGCCACCCTTCCGCCGCCCTCCGGCCAGGAAGGGATGGCAACTCCTTCGATCCTCGAAGGCAAGGCTTTTTGCATTGGATCATGTTTTGCCCATGCTGTTTCGGGTGTGCAAGTCCTCTTGCCCCACGTCCTCTCCACACGTCTTGCGCCTCAAAAGGATCGAGGCAGAGATTTCTCGCCGGGCTGAGCTTCCAGGGGTCACCCGCCGTGACCCAGGTCAGGTGGGCCTGGGGCGACGAGAAAATCGCTCTGGAGCGTCCCAGGGACGCCCTCGGAGCGTAGCGCTCAGGAACGGCTGCGGCGCCCAAAGTTTTCTTCCAGGCCCTCCAGCTCTCCCGACTTACCCTTGTCCGAATTGTTCCTCATCCTGCCTTCGGTTTACGGGGGCCATCACAAAGCGACCTGGGACGAAAGAACGGCCCCCGCCCTGAGATCCGACGTTGCAAAGAAGACGACGTCGTCGCAAGAGCCCCAGACCCCATCTTCCTGCACCACTTTTTGAGCCGCATCGGTCTGTGAGGGCCCCTCGGCCCGAGGCCCGGCGAAGACGCCTGTCGGGAAAAAGTTGGGCCGCAGGGGGTCGAAAGGGGCTAGGACGACGATAAACCTGTTCCAGAGCTTTCCTGAACGCTCTCAGAGCGTCCTGGACCGATCTGAGAAGGCCGCGGTGCCCGATACGTTCTCCAGAACCGCGGGATCGCAGAGATTATCGATTTATCCTCACCCGATGTTATCCTCGTCTTGGCTTCGCCTTAGAGGGTGAAGGGAGGCGGGACTTTGGGGGGGCCGTGCCGAAGACAGCAAGGCATCGGATGTCTGCGGAGGGTGGGCGGGGGGGCGGGGGTCTCGCCGTCGAGGTGGGCAGCACGCTCCGCTTCCGACCACCCGCGCCAGCAGTTTCAGACGGGGCGGAGTTCTTTGGAGCTCGTCGGCCCCCCTCCTGCTTTCAGGAGGGACAACACACAGACATTAATAGTTGCCGGTCACCAGGAAGATCTGGAAGATATTTCAAGTGTAGGGGAAGGCGAGGGTCCAGAAAATATGGTGGTCAGGGGTAACTCTTGGTTCGTGCGTCGGGGCCCAAACAGGAGCTACTACCGACTGGAGTTCTCTCGGATAATTCGGGCGTCCAATTTGGCAACCCAGTTTCGCCCCGCCATCTGAGCGACGGAAGAAAACGGGGCCATCTGCAAGGACATTAGCGCGTGAGTTGCCCGCGTAAGGTCGCGCGTAAGCGCCCTCGTTTCCAATGTAGCGTGCCGCGCTGGCGGCCCGCTTATGCCACCGCGTAAGGCCGCAATGTCATCGTGCGTAAGACCCGCTGTATTGCATGCGCACTCAAGGCATTCCATAAATGGCCTCGTCGTCGATGGATCGAGGAGTTAGCACCTCCAAGAGGTGGCAACTTTGGGCGGGCTCAGAGCTTCCAGAATTCGCCACTTGCCGGGGGGCCTCGCCGAGGACAATGTCGAGGAGTGGGCAAAGGCGCTCAAGGTGCCCCCGAGCAAGCCCGCCACCGACCTGGAGACCTACAAGAGGAGCGGCGGCCCGCCCGGCGGGGCAGTGTTGCCCCGCACATCGTGCGGGCTGGAAAAGAACAGGTCCCAGCTCGTCCTCATCGCTCGTCAGGGGCAACGCTAGGGGGGGGGCAGGCTCACGAGGAGGTTCGAGGTTTCCAAACGTTTCCTTGGTTCGCGGCGGATCTCAAGCTTCGGGGGTGCCTTCCAGCGGCTGCGCCTCGCCGAGAGCATTCACGGGATGCCTGGATCGCCCCAAAAGGCCACCAGAGAGCCGAGTTATGGCCCGCAAACACCAGGTGGCAACGTTAGGGAGGGATAGGTAGGGGAGGCGTCTCGACCCCATCACTCATGCATCGACGGAAGGAAACTCGATAGCCCACCCCTCCCATGGACGTGCGGGTTCACTTAGGGGGGGGGGCCTGTCGGTGATGTATCGCCGACTCCACCTCGATGCTTCACCGCATGAGCCAGTCCCCCGGTATCGTCCCCCTCAGTTCGGCGGAATCGCAGAAGGAGTTGGCGCATTGGGGGTGGCCGACTTAAGAATCAAGGAACGCAAGGTTGCGCGAGCACAAATCTTCGATGGTCGCCGCGAACTCCTGAAGTCGGCGCTGGACCCCGCCCCACAGCATCCGTCGCCTGTGGCGATGGCAGCGCCTTTGGGCGGGCAGAACGACACGGCAGAACCTCGCGGCACACGAGCACGGCAACCCACGCGCCAGTGGTTTCCCCCTCGGTCTGGGTCAGGGGTTGCGTTCCGCAGGCCTGAGGGACTTGTTGGCTGCTCTGGAGGCGTTCCGAAGTGCACTCCTCCTGGGGTCGCGCGTCTCGGCTCATCCGACACCGTGTGATCACAGGTGAATGATTATATAGGCTTACGCCACATCCGCCGACCCCTTGATCGACTTGGAGATGTCGTGTTGCTGTCCTGGGGCGTACTTGTGTTGTTTTGTTTCTTTGGGTGGGCGGGCTCCCTCCGTGGACAGTAGCAATGTCGCGCGCGACGACAAGAAGGGCACCCTGAAATGCAAGGCATGCAAATGATACCCATGCGAGCGCCGGTGCCACGATCCGTAGAAATACGACCAACGGGGGTGAGAGCGAGAGGGGGGACGAAGCCGACGAATGAGGAAAGCCAAGCAGGAGAAAGTGGAAGAGGAGGAGAAGGCGGGTGACGGTGGGGGAGAGGCGGAGGAGGTCCATCGGAGAAGGAGGAGGAGAAGGAGGAGGGACGATTTGGTTGGGAGGCGTGTTCTCTTGTCTCTGGTGGCCTTTTGGAAAGATGTCCGACACTTCGGACAGCGTGCGCGTCGCCCTGGATGTCGAGACCCTGTGCAGGTGTCTGGACCGTGCAATTTGTCATGGCCGTCGGTCCAAACTGGTTTGGTAAGGGGTCAGAATCTGAGGGGGGGGGTTCGCGGGGTCTCTTCGGAGCGCTCTGGAGGCGGGGGCATTGTCAGATGGTGGAGGGATACTGCATGGTCAGTGCGTTTTTCGTGGCTGACTTTCGAAGGGTTCGCCGTGCAGACATGGATAGATACCTGCGAACACCCGCGTTTGTAGACGGCAGGCGTCGGTCCAAAATCGGACGAGTGGTTCTCGAATGGGACGCGGCGCATCCCGCCACCTGGTTTGGGTTGCAGGTTTGCGGCCAAACGGACGGTTAAGAGGATCTCGTGGGGACTTCCTTGGGTTTTTTGGGGGGACTTCTTTGGGGTTTCGTGGAGGCGTCGGAGGTTTTCTTGGAGGTGGGCCTTTTGGTGTGTTTTTGGAGCAGGCTAAGGGCGTCTTGGGGCCGAAGGCTCGAAAAGGTGCCCTCTGGACTCTGTCTTGGAGCCGTCTGGGGGCCCTCTTGGGCTGTCTTGCCCTCCAGGAGGCCCTCGTAGGCGCCTTGGATCCTTTTCCAAGACGCCCCTTGTTTTGCTAGAAGGCCACCCTAGTCGCCCAACACCACCCTCTCCGCGCCACCAAGTCATCCTCCTTGTCGTCCGTCATCCGCAGACCTTTGGGCATCGCGGAAGAAGTGCGTTCTCTCGAGATTGCGTCGTCCCACGGGGCCGGTCCAGGGTCCTGCGGCCATCAGAACAAGGTCACCCACGGCGAAAAGCCAGTCTTGGGCATGGGGTCGGGAGTTCCAGGGCCCCACGTCGTGAAAGAGACACGACGTAAGAGATGTTGGTGTCTCCCGTCCCTTCCACGCTGCGCAAACTCTCAACTCCTTCTTTTCATCCCCATATCCCTTTCCTCTGCTTCATTTTCCCTTTAGCTCGAAAAAGAAAGAGCATAAGCAGAAACATGCGGAGTTTCGCGCAGATCTCTTGGGTCGGCATTGGGGCCCTGGCGGCGCCTCTGGCGCCGCGCGCTATGGAGGGGGCTGATCCATGAAATCCGGGCGGAGCTCCGAAAGTTCGTGCTTATGTCGTTTTTTGCATCCTCCCCTAATTGATCGTCTGAGCATCCCGCCGCTTCGCGCTGGCTTTTGAGTACACCCTCTTGCCGTGAGCGTTCTGCTCGGCCGGAAGATCTCCCCCACATCGACCCCCACCATGCCCCACAACTTTAAACGGAGAAGGTTAAAGGCGAGGTATAAATCGAGCATGTACCGCTGCCGTGCCTGGCTCAAGCCGGGCCCGGCCAGATATATGACTGTGCCTCACTGAGGCGCACGACTTGCATCAGAGATCGGAAAATACCTTTTCCATTGACGATGCCCATCCTATCCTTTACTCCAGATCCCATGCTTCGTCTTGCACTCTTGCTCATGCGATATGAGCCAAAGCCTGGGATATGGCAACGCTTAAAGCGTAACACATACCTAAGCTTACCAGCTTGTTTTCGACTTGGTAGCGGAGCTGGCTACACTCTCGTGTGGCTGGCTCTCGCTCTGATTCCTGTAATCCACGGCACAACTTGGTGGACTACTACTACGGTGGAATACCATGTTGCGCCGGCTCTGCGAGGAGCGGAGCCAGTCCGCGATCGAGCTAGCGGGGCAACCCGCGAACTCGAGACGCTCTCTCCTACTTCACTGCGCCACTTCACTCCCGACTTCCACCAGATGCCAATCGGCAACTCGATCGAGAACGTGGTCACCCTGCGGGGCTACCCGCAGCGGGGCCACCTGCATCCCGTGCCAGTCAGGCGCCTCACGGCTACTACGCCAGAGCCTGACAAACCACAGCCTAAACCAATCACCGAAGCCGAAATGCACATGCATTGGATCAAGATAACTATATTCGGCATTCTGTGGGTAATAATGGGATGTGCTGTGGGATACATGCGGCAGGGGATGGACGACACGCGTACTACTGGCCCTTCATGGGACCCTGCCGGTACTACGCCTTTTCGCGAATACGTTCGCGAAGTACATGCATGGTTAAACGTAACGAGTGGCAATATGACACCACCACAACAAGCTGCAGCACTACAACGAGGCCTTCAAGGTCTGGCTCGTCGTATCGCCATGCAGGTCCCCTCCCAGATCATCAATTATGGTGTAACTGTCAATGGACAGCCAACGGATGCAGTAACCTACATACTGTACTTACTGAGCACCAAATTTGAAAATCTGGAAGATGAGCGCCAGCTCAACTCTGGCACGGCCCTTATCGACTTCCGCGTCGAAAGGGGCGAGCGAATCGACTCAGTATTAGCTCGATTCGAGATGGCCCGTGACGAGGCTAACTCTGTTGGCTTTGTCATCCCCAACTTTCAGATCCTAACGCTGATTCTCTTCAGAGCGTTAGGCGTTGGCGCGTCACGAGCCCAACACCTGCTTGAGCCCTTCAATCATCAGATGCCCCGAACACAAGCAGACTATGACAGGCTGCTGACCAGGATGAGGAACTACGGACATGTTGCCGAGCGCTCTCCTGGCAACATAGCGGGTATCTTCACAGGGCACCACTCACATGCAGGTGTCTACGCCACGACTGCGGGGTCACCCGCTGGTCCTGGCGAGCCAAATCCCTGGGCTGACCCAGCCGATATGCCCAACGAGGCCACTGCCCTTTTAGGGCAGACTGGCCAGGCATCGGCAGAGGCAGCTGAGGCGAACGCCTGGACGAACTACTCGCCAGGCGCCGCCTACACTGCAAGCCCGCCCTCGGGCACAACCCTCTGGGGCCAAGCGGAGTCATCCGCTCAAGGGTCTCAGCCACCCTCACCGTTTGAATCTGGCACTGACACGGATACCTCATCTGACGATGAGCACAATGGCATAGTCTCTGCTGGTAATGACTACCCAGCGGATGACACTCACCTCTCTGAACAACAAAGAGCGGAAGCCGCCTTTATGGCTTATCGCAAATCAAAACGCCGTTGGAGGCGCTTTATGAAGAAACCAGTCAGAAAGGTGAGACGTGCAGTACGCCGACATTTCAAACGATTTGGAAAGGGTCGTGGCAAAGGGGGTCGCAGACGCCGTATGCATGGTAGGGGTATTACTGCTTTCCTCACGTCCTTAACTGATATGGCTTTTGAAGAAGTTCTTATCGGAGGCAAAGGTCGGGGTCACAGGCGGACCTCCGGTAAGGGAAAGGGGCGGAGGGGCAACCCTAGGGACGCTTCTGGCAATACTATGAAGTGTCATACATGCGGTAGCACAGAGCATTTGCGCGATCAATGCCCGAAGGGGAAAGGAAAGGGATCCGTACATTTGGCTCAAAATTCTTTTATGGATGACATAGATTACATTGACTACGAGTTTTACGTCAATCCAGAAGCGGCTCCCGCCGCGGGCTCCTCCACGTATTACGTGATGGCCCGCTACGCTGAAGCAACTGTAGCCCTGGAAGACTACGCAGTGACCCTCTTCGACGAGTTCCACGGCTGGGGCGAGGTCGACGAGGTCGCGTACAATGCTTGGTTCGGTCTTCCAGCGGGGCCACCCGCCGGCGACGAGGTCTCCGAAGCCGAGACCGTCCCGGCAACAGAGGAAGAACTCACCGCCGTGCTGGCCCCGCAAGTGATTGGCATGCCGTTGCTGCCAAATCCTTCGTGGGCTGGTTCGGAGGCGG